TATATATATATATATATTAGGTGACGGGTGTTTAGGGGTGTACCGGCCCAATATCGATACCTTCACAATTGGTTTGGTCCCGGCCTATTCGATCAACACTATAGATCACCGTATTTTGAAACACTCGAATTAGAAAAGCAAAAAATTAATATCCTCTATGAAAGTTATACCGACCTAATAAAATAACAAACAAATAGATGTTCGATGTCTTAGTCCTATGAGGGAGGGAGCCCACTGATATTTCGTGAAAGGGGTTTGGAGATATCTTGTAATTACTTCATTTGAATAAGAGTACTTTAAGAACAACACTAAGTAAATTCCTAGACATGTTAGTGAGCCTTATTAACCCAACGTGAAGTTAAGGAGAGGAGAAACCTTTCTCTAGAGAAAGAGATTTCTATCCCAAGAAAGAGATCGTATTTTGGAAGAAGGTGGTTCGTCCATCAAACCCATCAAACCCATCGTAACTACATTATTTGGAGAACAATTGTTTCAAGCAGGTTGGACCACATTTATACACTATGCGGTCTTGAGGTATAAAGCATTCATCTAAAAGATCGATGCAAATAGGTTGTCCATCTAAAAATAATTGAAACTAATGGTCAAATGTTTTCTTAATAGAATTATTATTTTTAGTTTTTAATTTTTTTTTATTTTTTCATATTCATGAACTCCATGTTAAAGATTATATATTCTCTAAAAATTGGGATCGAATTCTATTTCAAAAATAAATTTGATAAGGAGGTCCGCATTTCTACATTTGCGGGCTCGGCCGCATGCTAACCATGTCCTTATTTGAATTTGGTTGTTTGCCTCGCTCCAGCGGATGCATCTTGAAAAGTGTAAGCCACGTAAAAATCTTGTGTTTCGATGCTTTGCTTGTTTTCTTTTGTCTAGCACACCTATAAAGGCAAAGTATTTAATATTTTGTCCGAATGAACAAGACTCCACCGTAGAATCCGCATTCTTGCGAGAAAACTAGTAAGGCGTAAGCTCAACAATATAAAGTATAAAATTGTAGGGTTTTGAGGAATCATAAATCTCAAATATCTGGATCTCACCAAAGATCGTGTACTCAATTGGCCAAATACAAATTAGATGAATACAATTATAAATCGAGTGCGAGAAATAAAGCAAACATAAAAAATCAAACCACAACAACACACAATTTACGTGGTTCATCTCGTAGGGCTACATCCATGGCCTCGTCAACTAGAAATCTACTATCACAATAAAGATTACAGTTTTTTGTTACAAGAGATAATATATATCTTTAAACATCAGTAAAAGACCATCACCGATCTTTCATTCTAAACCCGTTTTCCCGACCGAGCAACATTGTCGATCAACATCATCTTTCCCACCGCAATACCGCTACTGAAAAAATAACCTCGATAACAATATATAGATTTTCTCTCTATAAAAGTGGAAGTTAACCAATCCAAAACTCATGGGAATACCGCCCCTCTCTCAGAGATCATGTCTCTATCTCTTAGAAATACATCTCCATATTGGAGATCCATTCCCATAACTCCCAAAGGGGTGACCTTCAAAAGATAAGCATTATGCTCTCTTTTATTCTCTTATAAAGGCATCACTTTGTTGCTTCTCAAAAAAATCAATTTTTTATTTTTTATAATATCCTAATCTTTTAAAGAAAATACGGGTACAATGATTTAGCTATCACCAAACCGAACAAAATTGAGATTTTTTTACCCCTTAAGGAGGTTACAATCACCTTTAATTATTAAATATTAAAATTGGGTTAATGCTATTGACTAGGCTCAAAAGTTTGAAATATATATATATATATATAATCTTCAAGATACACTCCTCGTAAGATTTTTTGTTCTAACAATTCTAACCATTTTGTAACATACAAATATCAAACAGAGTTGGTCTCGCCGGAATCTTAACGAGTAAAACCAACCATGGAAGCATGGAATCTGAAACTTTTCGATTTCTTTATTCTTTTCGTATTTATTTTAGTTCAATTGGCTTATATCCTAATTAAAGAATCCTTACACTACGTACTCCAAAAAAAAAAAAGGAATAGTTACGCTGTGTTTTGTAAACCTGGTGCACCCACCATTTTCTACATGAACACAACCAAATCTTTACACTGTCTCTCTCTTTACTTCTGCAAACCATTATCCTGGTAAGGATATTATTGTTCACTCTAATTTCCCTTGCTTCCTCCTAACCCTAAAACATTATACTTGGGAGGGATTTATTATTATTATTATTAAGTGTTATTTTTTGGTTGGGTAGGTGAGAAGCAGGGCTTGGCGATTGGTGACGCTGCAATGTAACGTCTAGAGCTTCAATTTGATGATTGGTGAGGCTGCAACTTAATGCATAGAGTTTCAATTCAATTTCGGTGAGGCTGTAACATGACGTCTAGAGCTTCAATTCAATTTGATGATCGTTCAATTTGATGATCGGTGAGGCTGCAACGTGACTTCTAGAGTTTCAAATGGATTGTTTACTCGCAAAAACAGCTAAAATATTTACAGTAGTACGCCTGTAATCATCAAGTGTCGGGAGCACCATGAGATGGTCAAGCTCTCCTCCTCACCATACCCCGATGGCGAGTTCGAGTGCGATGACTGTGAAATTCTTTGAATTATGTACTGCCGTTAAAAGTGTTATAAGCATTTCAATTACTCGGATTATACTTAATTATGCATTTATTGAAAGTGAAACTGTTGATGCATTTCTGTTAATAGATCTCATTTTGGAAAATATTGATATCTTTCAAACATGATTATTTTTGGGATTATGATGATCACTTACTGAGTAGCCAAACTCATCAAACTATGGTAAACATTTTTCAGGATAACTGCGGATTCATTTTGAGTGCTAGTCAAGATCAACCTTGAAAGATACTGTTGTTGTGCTAGCTTTCTTTATTTACTTTGTAAGACCTCGCCACTGTAAATTTGTCATATCAATAGATGTATATATGTTTTGTCTGTCACATCTCAGGAATAACAGTATTGTAAATTCTTGGGGTGTGACAATGTATAAGTGGTGGTAGTAAAGTCATCATTTGAAAGACAATTTTTGGTATCAAGTTCTTCGTTCAAAATATGAGATGGATAGATACGAACTGTGGCTTGGAGGCGGTAGAGGGAAGGAGACGTCTCATGCGTGGAGTGCCATTTCAAATTGTAGACCTATGATCTCGGGCTATTTTAGGTAGAATATTGGTTGTGGAAGCTAGGTTTTGTTTTGACGTTACAAGTGGATTGGGGATTTTCCTCTTAAATCTGTTTTCCTAGACCTATTGGGAGTGATATCTAGGCCAAATTTAAAGGTTTGTGAAGTTGTTGAACGTAAAGTCTAGTTGGTTTCATGGAATATCCCTTTTATTTATAGACGTTTGAATAATATGTTGTTGTCTCAATGGTGTGCATTGATGGAGCTCTTGGATAAATTCTATATTTCGCTGGATGCGAAAGATGTGTTGGTATGTGAGATTGAAAGTGATGGTATGTTTTCTGTTAAATCTTGTTATAATATGTTTTTCCATGATCGATAAAGATGGTCTTGGCTTAACATTGTTCAAATTTGGAAATGGCCAATTCTCCAAAAAAGTTTAAGTTTTTATTTGGTTAGCTGCACAGGATAAAGTTTTGATCATTGATACTTTAATTAAAAGGGAAAAGATTTTACCCAATGCTTGTTTGCTATGCAAACAAGACGGTGAATCAAGTGCACATTTATTTATTCACTGCCCTTTTACTTTAAGTATTTGACACTGGCTGATGGGTGTGACAGGAGTCTCAATGGTGCTTCCATAAACCGTGTTTTGGAAGTTAGTCCACTAACTGACAGCTACAGTGAATCATAATAGCCCATAATGAATTTGGGCCTATCCAATGGTCATAATTACATTTTGTATTTTAATTTTAATTTTTTTCTATAATTCTGAATCTTCTTAAACTTTTAGGGTCTATTATTAAAAAAATAAGATAATCAATACAAATATTAAAAAAATTCATAAAAAAATAACTTGATCAAATACCTCTAAAAAATTTAGGGGTATTTTGGTCAATTTATTTTTTGTGAATTATTTTTTAATTTTTTTTATTAGGTGTCTATTCTTCGTAAGATATAAATTGATTAAAATATCTTTGAAAGGTTTTGGGGGTATTTTGGGCGAGTTCGAGTGCGATGACTGTGAGCAGCCGGGGTCGGGCCCCAACTATCACTGTGAGCGTTGTGAGTTTGACCTGCACATCCACTGCACAGCCAGTGCGGCTGCGGCGACCCAACTCGATGATGTGAGTACGATGATAAATGTCGTGTGTCCGGCGAACCATGAGATGGTCTGGCTCCCCTCTTCACCATACCCCAACGACATGTTCAGGTGCGATGGCTGCGGCCAGCCAGGGTCGGGCCCCCTCTACCACTGTGGGGATTGCAACTTTGACCTGCACATGCACTGCACAGCCAGTGCAGCGGCGACCGAACAGGGGGTTGTGGGTGGTGCTGCGGAGGAGAGCCAAATCAAGGATGTGCTGGGAGGCCCCGCTGCTGAGGGGGTTGTGGGCGGCGCTGTGGAGGTGACCCAAATCAAGGATGTGCCTGCCGAGTGGGTTGTGGGGGGCACCGCGGAGACGACCCAAATCGAGGATGTGCCTGCCGAGGGGGTTGTGGGCGGTGCTGCGGAGGCGACCCAGATCAAGGATGTGCAGGGAGTCCCCTTGGCCGAGGAGGTTGTGGGTGGCGCTGCTAACGAATCGGACAGATTAATTAAGAATGATGCTGTTCGAGATGGGACGAAGGGTTGTTGTGTACCGTGCTTCTAATTTCTTTTCTCTTGGTCTAAACGTTGATGGCGCCATGCGTGCAGTGCTTTCTCTCTGGTGTGTTGTGACTGTGGGTGTTCATTTCAGTTTGTTTTGTACTCTGCATGTATTCTTTAACGGCCCCGTGCTGAACACTTTCTCTCTCTTACTTGTGTTCTTGTTTTAAAGTGTTATCCCTGATCAGATTTAACATGATTGAAGTTTCTCTCTCTACTATGGTGTGATGTTACTTCCAGTGCTAATGTCAGTTTGGTTTATTGTGATCTTCATTTATCTGTGCATGGTTCTTTAACGTCCGTGTATTGAATACTTTCTCTCTCTAGGTCTCTCTTTTTACTTGTTTTCTTGTTTTTTTAGGGGTGCCGTTTGCATAGGGCCGATGCTTTAAACAATCAAAGTAGGGCCCTTTTAGTATCTCGATTAAATCTAATTGGATTTAACCTCTCTCTCTTTCTCTTTCTCTTGCTGACCCGGTCGCTGTGTGTTGTTACCGGTGTTCAAACCATGGCTCGGGGGACAGACACAGCCCATGCCTCGACCAAGTCAAAAATGTGTTATAAAGCAACAATAGAAAAATCCAAAAATAAAAAAATCATGTTAAAGTAAAATTAAACAAAACCCATCTAGATGAAAGTAGTAAACAAATAGATTTTGAAAAATCACTTTGTACATAGTATTTAAGAAATAATTCAAAAAAAAGGAAAAAAGTAACAATAAGTTGGGGGATCTTCCCAGTGAGAGAGAGAGATAGCCGTTGCTGCTAACAGAGTGTTGGAGTTTAGAGTGAGAGAGGATCAATGGATAGGGTTAGAGAGAGAGAGTGATGGGCTCTCGCAGAGGTAATGTCTCGTAACGGGATAGGTTAGAGAGAGAGAGAGAGAGACGAGGGTCACGGGGGCATTTTAAGTGGATTTTATAAAAGATTTTGGGTCATGTGTGCAAACGGAAGCATGAGGAATATTTCTCATATCAATAGGTATGGTTTTATTTTACCATATATTAGGTCTGATAATATTTTACCATGATATTTTATTTGATTATGCATTTGAACAAATCAAACATGTGAAACACAATTTACATATATAAATACTTTCATAAAAATATTTACAATCAAACTAAACATACTTTAAAAGAACTCAAAAGTGTTGGTTCAACAACATATAAAGTATAAAATGAGATAGTTTCCCTTTCAAACAAATAGTTTACAATCACCTTTAATTATTAAATATTAAAATTAATCCTTATTGACTAAGCTCAAAAGTCTGAAAAGAATTTATAATCTTCAAGATACATTCCTTGTTCTAACAATTCTAACCATTTTGTAACATACAAATATAAAAAAAGAGTCGGTCTCGCCGGAATCTTGAGGAGTAAAACCAACCGTGGAAGCATGGAATCTGAAACTTTTCGTGTGTTCTCGTACACCCACCAACCTCTGCATAAATACAACCAAACCGTCATTTATTGTTAAGTCTCATTTCCTTTTAAGAGTCTCTTGGAGATGAGAGCGAAGGAGAGTATCATCAGGTGTCCGGGGCACCATGAGATGGTCAGCCTCTCCTCTCCACCATACCCCAATGGCGAGTTCAGGTGCGATGATTGCGGTCAGGTGGGGTCGGGCGCCGTCTACCACTGTGGGCATTGCAACTTTGACCTGCACCTGCACTGCACGGAGAAGGTGAGTCGTTTGCCTGTAATCGTCACGTGTCCGGCACACCATGAGATGGACTGGCTCCCCTCTTCACCATACCCCAGTGGCGAGGTCCGGTGCGATCGCTGCAGTCGGTCGGTGTTGGGCTCCCTCTACCACTGTGGGCGTTGCCACTTCGACCTGCACTTTTACTGCACAGCCAGTGCGGTGTCCCAACTCGATGGTGTGCTGGGAGCCCCTGCTGCCGAGGGGTTTGTGGGCGGTGCTGCAGAGGCGAGCCAAATCAAGGATGTGCCGGGAGGCCCCGCTACTGGCGGGGTTGTGGATTGCGCTGCGGAGGCGACCCCAATCAAGGATGTGCCGGCCGAGGGGGCTGTGAGGGGCGCTGCGGAGGCGACCCAAATCAAGGATGTGCCGGGAGTCCCCTTGGCCGTGGGGCTTGACGATGGTGCTGTTAACGAATCCGGCAAATTAATAGGGAATGATGCCGTTCGAGATGAGAAGAAGGGTTGTTGGGCATCGTGCCTCTCATTCTTCCTCACTTGGTTTAAACGTTGATGGCCGCCATGCTTGCAGTGCTCCCTCTCTCCCTGTTGTGTTGTGACGTTGGGTGTTTTGTACCCTGCGCATGGATTCTTTACCGGCCCTGTGTTGAGTCTTTCTTTTCGTGCTAATTGTTAGAATGGTATTTCTCTATATTTGAGTCTGAAACCTTGAAAGATTATTTCACAGTACTGAAAAGAACTTTATTACATTTGATTAATAAAAAATATACAAGATCCCTATAAATATAAGACCATTGATTAATAAAAAATATACAAGATCCGTATAAATATATGACCATAGAGATAAAGAAAAAATTTATATAAGGTTCAACTTTATATGTAGAACTACCGATGCACCTCAAAAATCCATCGGAAAAGGTAGTTTTAATGTTGAAAAACCCTTTGATTGAGTATCTCGACATCGAGATGTATGACCATGAAATAAAAAGATTTTAAGTCTCGGAAATAGTGCATTTTACAACATATTATCTACACCGTCGATGTTCAAGATTTTTCATATGTTCATAGATCTACTTGATTTTAACCATTTTTTAAATTTAAAATTTTATAATTAGATATAAAAATAGATTTTGAAATAATCCTAAGAACATTTTACATCAAATTATATACCATGATAAAATTTGAAGGTGCACCTTACCTCTACAGCTACAGATGCATCCGTATGCTAACTGCAACCTAAAGATAAATACCAACAATTATAATAGACACCTTATGTGTAGACACAAAATATAGGACCAGTAACAGTTAAAGATAAATACCAACGAACAAACACCACCTAATCTTATCAAGACATATGTGTCATACAGATGCATATCCGTACTGATATGTATGATACATATTCATATCCATACGTTAACACTAATGTCCCCGTTTGGAAAATTGTTTTATGTGGGCTGGACCTCATTTCTACATATGTGGTCTAGAAAGTGTAAAGCATCCGTTTTAAAGATGGATGTAAATGTTCCATCTAAAAACAATAGAAACTAACGGTCCAAATATTTTTTTATTAGAATTGTTATTTCTAGTTTTTAAAATTTATTTATTTTTTCATATTCATGATCTCCACTTAGAGATTACATGTCCTTCAAAATTAAGTCCTAAATTCCATCTCAAAAAATACATTTATTAAGAGGCGCGTATTTCTACATATGCGGGCTTGGGCGCATAGAAACGAGGTCCATGTTGAGTTTCGTTTTTTGTGCTCTTCATTTTTATGTGCATGGTTCTTTAACGTCCCTCTATTGAACACTCTTATCTCTAGGGCTCTTGTTTTCTTGTGTTTTGAGTGTTATGTCGATTAAATCCTTAACGTCCCTCTATTTAACCTCTCTCTCTCACACACACCCGCCCGCT